TGGGTACATAAAAAAATTATTTTTAAATCTTTTCAATTAATTAAGGTTTTGGTTGAGATAAAAAAAGTCAGTGTCACAAGCGGGATTCGAACCCACGACCTTCGGCTAAATACGCCGCTGCTCTACCACTTGAGCTATCGTGACTTCGATCCACTCGGACACCAACTTCCCATCTCAACCCCGCCTTTTGAATTTTCCCTCCTTTTTGCCATTTTTCAATATTTTTAAATATTTCCAATAATCTGTGTGAGAAAGATTAAGTTAACCTCTGTTCATTAGATTCTTTTCTGATCTGTCTGAGTAAGTGTTTTTAATATGCCAACAAATGATTTTTTAATAGTTATATATAGCTAGTTAATTCTGGGAGTTTTTTCTGTTTCTAATGTAAATTTTATATTTTTATGGTGTTAGTTAAGTGAATCTAAAAATGGTTTAATTTTATATACCTTTTTTAATTAAAAAAACATCATCAATATATGTAGTAAGAATTTTTCTATTAAAAATACACGTAGAAATTTTTCTAACAAAGACTAAACAATTTTTATGTTTTTGTGACATAATTTATTGGGTTTCTCGAAGCACTTATGTATCCTATGAATGTGCAAGTTTTTGATTTTTAGAATTTAATATTTCCACTACGTATATAAAATATTGTCTTAAAATCCAGAACAAAGTACTAGGCGATAAAGTAGGTGGATAAAGTTACATTTCAACTAATTTGTTGAACTGTTTACCTCGAAGATCAAAGCCCAAATAAATTCTTTAAAATTATTACACGTAATCTATTTTATATTCATCTCCAAATATGAAATATGTTGAAACATTAAGACGTAATAGTTGAGACAGGATATAAGATATATAAGAAGGGGGCGTAAATTCCGCGGAAAAAGCGTAGTGTACACGTGGGGAACGTAAAACCCTAGCTCTCACACATTGTTGCCAATTTATACGCTTTATTTTTCAACTTGAATATATTTTTTGGCCCGTTTGATGTGACGGCCTCTTCCAAGTGCTACGTCCAATCCATTTTAATACCTCTTTCGCAATTGAGATTTAATATTGGCGGACCAATTGGCCTCTCCTTGGTCCGTGATTTCCGCCGATGCCCGATTCAAACTACGACATGGGCCAGACCGGGTGGGGACTATTCATAAATATAAATACTAAACAGGATGCTTGCCTCGATTATGCAACGAGACATACCTTAAATACATATTTATATAATGGGTTAATGCTTTAGATAACGTATATCCTTCCTTTTTTAAATTGAGGATACGAGGGATTTTTGAAATATCTTCCGCCCATGGTAACTTTTCCCCGTCTTGTTAACACAAGACTAGCATGTGTCCTAGTAAATTCAAGGCTTTTCCATGGCCGAGAAACCAAAAATACCTTAGAGGATTGTGCTCTTTTCAATACGGAGTGTATTGTCAAACTGTTCTCGATTCGAATTGACGTTATCACAAGCTTTTAAATTGGTTTCACTTACTTTCTACCAGAGTTTTTTGGCAGTTGACACACCCACATTATCGATTCAACAACTTAAGGTTTTTTTCGAAATGTGTGGTGTTTAGTGACCCCCAATTAATGATTATTTGGAGATCGTGAGATGCGGTGTGGTGTGACGTAGGTTTTTAGAAATACATTTTCGTTACCGTTCCAACGTTTCGATATTTATTGAGATCATCTTCAGAGCTCAAAGTGTTTGTTTTCTTTGTAGAGTGTCATTATTGGGTGTCCTGTTGAGAGAGATGATCTCAACGTTGGCACGTTAAAGAAAATGTTTTTCTTTTGTGGTTTTTTATTTTATAAATTGTTAAACAGTATGATTTCAGGATGACACTCTCTCTCTCTCCTCTCTCCTCTCTCTCTCTCTCTCTCTCTCTCTCTCTCTCTCTCTCTCTCCCTCNTCACTCTCTATTCCTCCCTTTTCTCTTTCTATTTCTCCCTCTCTCTCTCTCTCTCGCTCTCTCTCTCTCGCTCTCTCTCTCTCTCTCTCTCTCTCTCTCTCTCTCTCTTCCCTTTCACTCTCTTTCTTGTTATTCTATTTCTTTCTTTCTCCTCTCTCCTCTTATTCTTTTTTTCTCCCTCTCCTTCCTCCCCCTCTCTCTCCCTCTCTCTCGTTCTCTGTCTGTGTTCCTGCATGTCTCTCTCTCTCTCTCTTTCCCTCCTTTCTATCTTTCTCTCTCTCACTTTCCCTCCTTTCTATCTTTCTCTCTCTCACTTTCCCTCTCTCCTCTCCCCTCACAAATCTACCTGTTCAAGGTGCCTACTTCACTTTTGAGGGTTTCCTATCCTTATCATAATTTGTAGTTCGGTCGAGTCCGATCATTTTAGTCTTCCATGTCCACGTTCGTTTACCAACAAAGATAGATAGACCAAACCACTTCTCCATAACCCTGCAGGTCCCATGAAAAATGATAGGATTGTAGATTTTTGCAGAAAAGGAGAACAGGTCGTTGTTGCCAATAATTGCTATATATTTTTGAATTTGTGTGGTCGTAAATGTCGACCCCACCCCGTATTCAACAGCCGGTTTTTGATGAGTCTGAAGTGCTACTTAGTAAGAAGAGAAGCTTTTCATAAGAGGAGATAATGTTCAAAACAAGGTTCAGTGTCGAGATTAAAATATAGGCGTGATGTAATTTTGACAGATAAGATCGGCTTTCCTCCAATCCCCGTATTTTATCTAATTGAGATAGACAGAAAGTCGCCGACTGATAGCGGCTTCCGCTCCGGAAGTCACTCCCCTGGCAGTACGGATTCGCCTTCAGGTGCCTTCTAAAATTACACTTCCTCCAGATTCGGCATACGGCACCCTTGTTCTCTAATTGAACCCTATAAAAATAGTCCTGGGGGAAATCGACGGAATTCGGACCGGGCCATGACTAAAACTGAGCTAGACGATGTCACGACGAGATAAACAAGCCTTTAGGGCCATTGCCAAAATAAAACCAACCTTGCCAGTCCTTTTGTAACACATTTTGGATATCATCTTCACAAACGTTCATAGTTAGGCTCATTTTCTATTCTATTTCAAGGTCTCAAATTGCAAAATAAGAACAATTTAATTAATTTGTATATACATGTCAAACCATTATTATCGCAAGGTGTTGTATATTGTTCAGTTTGCTTCTTCGATAAAAAAGTAATGATTTGGAACGTCATGGCAATGTTATGAAAGAAGCGTTTAAATCTCTAAACGATCTGGATAATGTTTTCCGCATGAGAAAGTCGGAAAATGGGGTCTCCCACCCCAACTATATTTAAATATAAGCCTATGGAAAGATCGATTGTTGGAATATAAATTCCAGAAACGTTTTATTATACGTGGCCATAGTGAATCTTCCAAATCTTAGAAATACCCGGAAAGTCATACTGGATAATCGATTTCAACGCCAGTTTTAATTTGTTGGCCGTCGGATGATGGACTTTTACTGTTAATAACCTCACTGGGTCCGCCTACTCTCGCTGGTTTCTCTTCCAGGCGGTTTAAGTCTCTCTGTGTAAAGTTCATTCGCAAATTGTATAAGCTGCGTGCTAAGAAGGAATGAGAGGAACTAGACAGACGCAGGTGCGAGGGTTCGCAACAGCAGAGGTCATATCAGCCCTCGGGGTGCCGGTGGTTTTGAAAAAAAGCCCTTTTGTAAGTATGTCGGGTTGGGTTCGAATGCAGGGCCGCTGGATTCGAACCCGGGTCCTTTACCTTACAGTGATGAGCGCCGTGTCAACGCCTAAACTGTTGCGGCCACCCACGCCCCCGCGACTGTTTATTGTTATCTATTAAATAAATTTGATTATCCTCGTTATTCTAGCTTGTGTCAAAGCAGGGTGGAAAGAATGATACACAAAGACAAGTACTATAGAATAATAGTTTAATTTTAAGCCCGAAATAAATTTTTAGGATAAACATATCTTAATGACTTAGCTAGTAAGTAGGACCGCCACGTTGATATACCTTAAATGATTTATTATTGGGTTTTGTTTTTAATGAAACGGGTTTTATTCAATCCAAGGCGTTGAACTTTTTTTTGTCATTGCGTTTATGAAGTTGATGGATTTTGATAGGGGGCTGATTAGAGACTTTTGACTTGTCGCTCTTTGACCCCATTTGTTTTTCATGACCTGACCCATTCCGCAACGCTAAATAAGCCCTCTGTTCGCGTTATGTCTTCGCTCTAAAAATTTAACTCTGCAGAGAAAGTGGAAGACTAATGGGCCAATAATAGCAGAGAAATCTGACGAGGCGGTGATTGATTTTTTTTCACACCCGAAAGCCTCCCGTTACAGTCGGAAATTGGTTTTGAATGTTTGAAATTGGCTATTTCCGATTTTTACGTTTCGACATTGCTATGTGTTCGAATGGCATATTTTTTCAGGAGTTCGTTAAATTCGGTAAGACGAGAATAAAATATAAATTGTAGTTTCGCCATTTCCGTTCATTTTGGTCAGCCTCGTTCGGTCTTCAGGGTCTTGAAAATAACAAAACGCATTTCGCAAACAAAATCACCGAGGATAGTAGACCAAAATAATCGCAAACGACCAAAACCACTCCGCAGACTTCATGGGGAAATCATACAATTTAAAACATAAATATAAACTTAGCAGATATTAATTTAGAAACTCTATGAATTTTTTATACTGAAAACAAATATTAATTGTAAATTCACTAATTTCGTGGTCCGCTTGACCAATTAATATATTACAATTAATTAAGATTTTTAGTTGAGATAAAAAAGTCAATGGCACTAGCGGGATTCGAAAAATGGCAAAAAGGAGGGAAAATTGAAAAGGTGGGGTTGAGATGGGAAGTTAGTGTCCGAGTGGATCGAAGTTACGATAGCTCAAGTGGTAGAGCAGCGGCGTATCTAGCCGAAGATCGTGGGTTCGAATCCCGCTCGTGCCATTGACTTTTTTATCTCAACTAAAAACCTTAATTAATTGCAAACGTGGAATAATAAAAAATATGGAAAAAATTATATTAGAGTTTTTGCTTTCAGATGAGCGGGACCCCATGCAACCAGTGGTTAGGTACAGCAAGGACCTTGGATGTGGAACTGGGACTGCCATGTGGCTTTTAGACATTCCTGCTGGTCCAATTAGTCCTCAAGGTATTTATATTTTGTTTGTTATTTTTCTTTCTGTTTTTAATCATTGTCTCTTTTTTCAGATAAGAAGAAAATGATGTGCTTTAGATATTATAGTGGCTTGTCATTTTCCTGTTTGGCACAGTCGGAACCTATGGAAATTGAATCAGTTTGTGCCTCTAGGGAAGATAACCATACAAAGTGCAAAGAAGGAATGGGAGGAGTGAAGAAAAGGGACCTGCCCAGGCCGGGAGACTTAATGCGTTTGAGGGCAAAGCATTCGAATTGTAGCTCAGAGAGTGAATCGGAGCCAGAAAGTTCCTCCAAATACAGAAAAAAGGGCTGGAGATTGCTCAAGAAAAAGTCATCCCTGCCAAACGGTTTTGTTCACCAGGAGGTAGAAGATTCAGACACGGATTCCTCTCGGACGAGCTCCAAGGATTTACCCACCTGGAACTCTCATGAGGCACAAAGGTCTGTCGACGTACCTGAAACAAATTCAGAGTACTTTCCAATTTGGAGTAACAAGTCTCCTCCAAGTCAGCCTTCCGTATATGAGACTGTATATCCACCTGGAGATGATGATGAACCACCACCTCTTCCACCTAGAGCATTTCCTCCTAGACATAGACCATTAGAAAGGACAAGAGCAATTTGTGGAGCCTTGCGAATTCCTCCTCCTGAAGTACAAAGAAGGAACAAACCTTGTGAAGGGCCCATTCTACCTCCAAGACCTGTGAAAAAAATTACACACCCTGAAGATAGTTTTGGGTATGCTTTAAATTGTTTATTCTAATGTAATTGCCCTTAAAAGTATTAAATTATAACTATTACATTTATTATTTTATGGGTTCGTTGTAACAAAATATTTAATTTTTCAGATTTGAAATTGTGGATACTGATGAGTTATCAAATGCATCCAGTTTGCAAGGTGACGATGTATCAGTAGTGGTGTCAAAGACTATAGAAGGAGACTCGACTGCTCCATTAGCTACCCCCGAACATGATTCAAGTGAAGCCACAAATCGTCATAAATCCCCAGCAATCACTGACAGAAGGCATCAACAAACAGACTCTTCAACAACGCCTGCCGAGGCCATGGTCACATCTTCAGATGGTGCGATGGCGATGACTACCCATTCATCAAGCTCTGACTCTTTAGTCTCGGCCTCTGATGAACCGCCTCCTTTAAGAATGCACCGACCATTATCGAGACAGGTCAGCCATCCACCAGTGGCCATTCGTAGTAACCATGGTGTATTGTCACCACAATGTCCACCGACTCCAACACATCACGCTCGACCAAACCGTCACCATCACCATACACCACCTTCACCACAGCCTCCTCCACCAGAAGAACAAGAGCCACCAGAACAGCCTCAGGACTCTTTTTTGGCATCTACTGCTTCTGTTGCAAGGCATGTAACTTCAACAAGACTCCCATCAATTCCGGAAAGAACTGTCAAACACCAAAGAGTAGAGACAAGCGATGAAGACCCACTGCCTCCTTGTAAGTTTTTCTTTTTTTTAATGCTAACACTTTTATTTCTAAACTAAACTATTGTGAAAAAAGTGATTTTTAATATGCAACTGAATTAACACAATTAATGATGTGATTTGGACAAGTTCTTAGCTCTTTAATTTAATATTATGGCAATTTTGATTCAGTTTCTAATAAACAAACTTAATGTTACAGATTGGGAAGCAAGAATTGATAGTCATGGTAGAATATTTTATATCGATCATGTGAATAGAATGACAACTTGGCAAAGGCCAAATCATGGTACTTTAACGAGGGCCAGAGCTTCTACGAATGAACTGCAAAGACAACAGTTAGATAGGAGGTATGTATATGTATTGTAGTGATTAATATTTTTTAGTGAGCATTAAAAAAAATTAATAGTAGTAGTAGTAAGATTTATTTAGTATCAGCAAAAAAAGAATTATACTAAACAAATTGACATGAAACTTTTTTGGCTTGGTAAAAATTGTTTACAGGATTGAAAAGTTAATAATTTTGGTCATTTTAGGTATCAGTCAATAAGGAGGACTATAACATCAAGGCAAGCGGAAGATCTAGCAGAAAGGAACGCTGAGATCCCAGCATTAAACACTCCTCCCGATTTATACTCCCCGGCCCTCAGGTTCCTTTGTAGGCCTGATTTTTTTAGCCTTTTGCACACAAATCAGGTATTGCTATTAAAAAAAAATTGTTATTAACTTACTCTTAATTTGCATTTTATTAATTTCAGGAAGGACTTTCCCTATATAACAGAAACGGTTCTCTCAAGCACATGATATCCAAAATAAGGCGTGATGTCGGGGCTTTCGAGAGGTACCAGCACAACAGAGATCTAGTCGCCTTCATCAACTGCTTTGCCGATCCAGTTAAAGAACTTCCAAGAGGATGGGAAACAAAATTCGACAGAAACGGGAAGGTAATTATTTACGCTATTAGAACACTTGCTTTATAAGATAAAACTAAATTTATCTCAACCTCAATTGATATTGGCTCAGTTTTGTTGATTTCTTCTTTGTTGTAATGTTTCATTTTGGTTTAGTTATAAGGATTCAGGTATTAAAATAACAAACACAAAATAGTTGGATTATTTTACTTTTCTGCACAAAATTTTAATTTGAGTGAATAAGAAACCAACAGAAATTTTACTTCTCTCATAGTGGCTTGAAATTATTGGCTAAATGCTTGCTTTTAACTAACCCTACTAACAAATCCTTCAGCAATTCTTCATTGACCACACTTGGAAAAGGACGACATTTATGGACCCTCGGGTCCCGTGTGATCTACCTTTCTTGAATCCACACAAGATCAACCCCTGGCAGCTTCGGAGGCGGTCAAGATCTGCTGGAGAGCAGGATCTAGCTTTCGCTAATGTAAGGATCGAATGATCACTAACCTCGACATAGTAACCTATAACTAACCTTATTCCTTCGGACTGCATGATAGCTTTTTAGGTTGATAAGGGTAAAATTAATTTGATTTTTATTCCAGGCTCCGTTACCTCCTCCTCGTCCTGGTCCTTCAGGATTGTCGTCTAGGGTCCTTGAAGTCCCTACGGCTTACAATGACAAAGTAGTCGCCTTCTTGAGACAGCCGAACATTATGGACATCCTGAAAGAAAGACATCCACAGGTTGCAAGTTGCCAGTCGCTGAGAGATAAAGTGAACTGTGTACGGGTCGAAGGGACTCAAGCATTACAGAACTACTGCCATGACATCGATCTCACTATCTTATTAAGGTTAGTGTTTCATTTACATTAGCAAGTTAAGAAAACAAGACAAAACATATGATAGCATCAGTGAGAAAAAAAAACGCATTTCTGTTCATTCGGATGATGGCTATTAGATTTTTGTCCGCCCATAAATAATATATAATATAAATATAATTTTTTATTACCCTAGTAAATAAAGAAGGAAAAATATTTGACGCTGTAGGATAATTTAGATAATTTAATAAATAAAACAGTAAATATGATCTTTTTACATACTGTATTTTCCTCCCTAATTATAGAAAATGAATTATTTTGTATCTTTTGTTTTGAAGAACAACTGAAAATTAATACACAAGCATAATGTTCTTAAAACACAATGCTGATTACATATGATATAATTTATCAAATATATCAAATTGCATTTTATTTCTCCTTATTTTGAAGGGAAAATCTCAGAGACTATAAGCATTAATACATAGATTTGTAAGAAAAATTTGTATAGAAAAAGATTCGTATAGAAAAATTTGCCACTTCATGAAGTGTAACCATTAAATGATAATTAATAAACTCTTAAATATTTTAAAATTATTTTTATTAGGATTTTTTTTTAATGAACTTACATAGTCACACGTTTAATGAGAAAACTTCTTATAAACAAATTTAATGCTCATTCGTATAGAATATTTGTATTTACACTATGTAGCATATTTGGGGGGGGGGGGGGCTGCAGTGGCAAAATGTTTAGGGAGTATCCGTCATGTTTGCAGTTCTGGGTTCGAACCCCAACAAATCCCAAAGCTTTTTAATTGATTATATAATTGTAAAGTGATTTGATCCCATGTCCATGACACCCAACGAGCAGTTGCATTTTAAGCCCTCCTGTATGCCAGGAAACTTCAAGGTATAGTATATTTTAAATATACTACTTATTCCATGCCCCGTTCCTTCCTTGTCGAGTATGTCATCTAGGATCCTTGAATTATAAAAGGACACATCCTAAGCAAAATCGGATAGCTATAAGTTTTTTTGGGCAATTTCTCAATCATGCTAAGCATAATTATTATGATTAATTCTATTTTAAACAACGTCTAAAACGTAATTCTTGTCATAATTATTAATTCACATCTTAATTAAAATCAATTAAAAAGTTTTCTGAATGGCGTCAATTTTTGTGATCACAGTTACCACCACAAGTCACATTTGGGTTTTTGTACTGTGAGGTCTTTAAGGTTTTATGTAAATTTAATAAATTATTAATTTATGGTACAAAGTAATAGATGAAATCAGAGAGTATCCGGTGTTCCATTTCTTGCAAGTCGATGTCAGGATAAATATGGATTGATATAACACACCTCTCATTGTTAATTTTATTTTTTATGCAAATCTACTTTTTCTTTGTTTTTTATATAATTTGTAAACATGTCAATTTTTGAATTATATGACCTTGATTTGGACTATGCTTATTACACAAATCGGTTGGGTAAATGATCTGAGAGAATTTTTGATATTTTCGTTTATCCACTTTATTTCAAGGCTGTCTCCAATCAGTAGCTAGTAATATTCGGCCTAGATTACAAATCCTATTTCTATTTGTCATAAATAAATAGTTTGTTTATTTTTTAACAAAAATTTTATACATGCTTTTCATAGATTGTCCTTTTTTAATAATTCAAATTCAGTTTTTTGACAACGGCCAACGATGGACGTTAAATTTAATACAATTCCAAATATGAAAGTGTCTCCTTGTTGGCCCCGATACATTATTCAGTCGTCATGAGCCGCCCTTTTTGACCCTGTTCCTAAATTCCGGAAGTCCGGATTCGTCCAGGGGAGTCGACTGATCTTCCTCATGCGGGCTTCCGGCACATCTGATGTACAAAATTCGGGTTAAGAGAGTCAATTGGAAACATTTTTCTTCCATTCAAGTCGATAAATTATTATGGAGTTTTTTTGCTGTAACCAATTGACTATAAAATTACGACGATGAGATTTATTTCTGGCTTATTATTTCAACGGACCAAAGACGAAATTCGGTGATAATTCCTGCTTAAGCTTAGTTATCCAATTTTCGACTAAAAATGATGTTGGATGCTTCAGCCAAAAAAAAGTTTGATCTGGCGTTTCCGGTTTTTAGTTGGAATTCGCAAAGACGAGCACGCAATCGCGTAATCCGTCTGGCAAACCAGATGGTGAAGCTGTTGTAAAAAGCGAGCGGATCGAAAGCTTCAAAATTATCAAATTTCAGCATGATTCAAAACTTGATAAGTGTCTTGATGAATTATCATCCTCTGTAAAATCAAGTTTAAAATGTGAGGTTTTCTATTTTGGTCTGTGGGGGTGATAAACCTATCATCTTGGTCTGCCTATCCTCGCTGATTTTTGTCAGTTCAGACGTGCTGCCTTATTTCGCCATCTTCAGTGTTTTGTTGATTTTTATGGAATGAAGTTTTAATTACGAGGTCGTGGAGGTCGAGTGATGTTTGATGGATTGTAAGGTTTTTGATTTTTGGTCATTTTCTTTTTAGTTTGCGCTATATTTTAAATGGTGAAAATGATGTTTGTTGGTTATTGTTAATCTGTTTATTTACGAGTTTTTTTAGTGTTGAATTGTTTATACATTTTTAAGTTTTAGAGTATGTGCATTTTTCGTCCTTTTTATATGTTGTGTGTAGTTTCATACTTGTTTGTAGTGTTGACGGTCTGTGTTGTTTTCTTAGGTGTGTCGCGTCCCTAAATGATTTGTTATGTTCTTTGATTTTTCGTCCTGGCTGTCTCCTCATTCACATGTTAGTATTTATTTATACTCCTTCTTTTTTCCTCTAGTTGGTCTCTCTTGTCAATGTTTTCTAATTTCCCTATCGTGTATGTGTTTTTAGTGCTGTTTTTTTGCCTAATTTGTTAAATAAGTTAGTTTGCACGCTTTTTTCCAGTATGTGAATGTGGTCCATTTAATGTTTGTTTTTGTGCGCGTTTTTTGTTTGTTATTTTGTTGATTGTGTTTGTGTTATAGCCTCTACTGTGCGCTATGATTTTCTTTTAATTTTTTTTCATACTTGTCTTTGTTTAGTGCTGCTTATTTTATGTCTGTGTGGGTGGTTTGAGTCGGTTATCATTTGCTGTCGGTTTTATGTGTACGCCAATTGTAATTTATCTTCTGTTTTTGTGATTATTAAGTCTAGGAAGTTTATATTGTTGTTTGTTTTTGTTTCTGCGGTGAATTTTATGTTTTTGTGAGTTCAGTTCTGTCAGTATATAGTTTATGCTGTAATCGGTCTGCCAAACCAGATGGTGAAGCTGCTGTAAAAAGCGTGCTAAAGCGGATCGAAAACTTCAACTTATCCCCTGTAAAAACAAGTTTAAAATATCGACAGGGTTAATAAAACCATACAAATAGTAAATAAAATCTAACTCTAATTTTAATTATTATAGTTATGGACTTTCTTTAACAATTGCGTCCGTTTTACCTATCAAATCATTATCAGTTAGAGAGATTTTTGAAAATATTTTTTGGCAATACCACATTTTTCAATACCATTTGGGGAGAAATTAGGAGAGTAAATCAAGCATTCCCATCGTACGCTATCGTGCGTTTAATTTCTTCATGATTCTCCTTTCCTGAGTCATCAGATACGATCCTTCGATCAATAACGATATTAATTTTTTTTTAATTTTTCGACCCAATTTTAGGTCGAAAGTTAACCGTCTTTTTGCATAAGTTCAGTGACGTCAACAGGAAACCCTTCGCCGTGATAAAGTTTCCGTTAGCACAACGGAAGTCATTATAGATCCGACAACAGGTGTTCTTTGCAGTGCAAATTCAAAAACAGTTGGCTCACCCAAACAGATGTACGGTCCCATAAATGAATTAATTCGGGCATGGGTCATGCTGGCTGCTGGTTTAACTGAAATTGAATCGGTTTTGCAGTTTGCCTACTCGTTTGGAAAGACCTTTAAAATACATTTACTATATTAAAAATTCCAATTTTTCCTTAGCCCTGATTATATATATCATATATAATTGTAATATTGAGGGTTAATATTAATTTAATATAGATAATACTTTTATTTATAATCTATTTTAAGACAAATTGACGCAAAGGTGGTGTTTGTTCAAATATTTGCTAACCACAAAATTGGCCCAAACTGTAAAATCATAAAAAAATGTTATGAAACTTATCTGCGAATCATAAACCCGAGGAAACATTCTTTCATATTCAGGCCGGTTAATGATTAGTCCTTAAATTTTTAATCTTTAATCTGTTCCCAAATAAGAAACACATAAGTGGTGCCAATACATTTCAATTGGGCGTTAAAATTGTGAGAAAAAAATCCTCGGAATTTCATGCCCAAAACAAAACCTTCTGACGTCAATACCCAAATATGCCAAAGTATTAATTAATATATTTTATAAATTAACTGAAGCACGCATATGTTACTAGGCCATTTGTTAAGTAAATCGTGACTAGAGGGGCCAGGATGAAGAGGGACTAAGATGTGTAGCAAATATTCAAAAGCTCTCTCAAAATTATTATGTCCAAGTAAGTTTCTCATGAGAAATATCATTTTTTAGTTAATTAATATTTTCATGATAGGTATTGGTTAAGATAAAAAGTCAGCGTCACGAGCGGGATTCGAACCCACGACCTTCGGCTAGAAACGCCGCTGCTCTACCACTTGAGCTATCATGACGCTGACTTTTTATCTTAACCAATACCTTTCATAAATATTAATTAATTGAAAAATGTTAATTGGTCAATCGGACCGCGAACTGTAATGGATTATTTTTTAGCATTTTCTTATAGAATGAATTTCGTGGAGAAAATACATTCGTTCGTTTGATTCTTTTCTATTTGTACTTTATTGAACTTCATTTTTATTTATAGAACTTTACGATGGATCATATAGTTGTCTTGTTTTTAAATGTTTTAAACGATGTATTTTTATTTTGATAATTGCCCAGTTTTCTTGTGTATATATTTATTGGCCCGTAAATATGTCATCGCTCATGAAGCACCCATCTTATCTCG